CGGCTGGCCATAAATCATTTTTTTTATCATAAATCATTTTTGTATGTTTGTTCATGTTTTTATGCCATGTATATCTTGCTTAGATGAGGACGAAAATTCGTACGGCGACCCATTCAAACAAAGTGCCTTTATAACCCATATCTCACCTTGGCTGGGCGCATTACCAGCAGGAACATTTCGTAAAATGGCGCAAGGGGCCGGGTTCTTTGCCGATCTGGAGCAGATAGACGACTTGAAGAGGATTGAGAGACGAGATGGACCACGCGCTCACAACGAAGAGTTGGTCAACATTGTAAGCAGCGAGGAACAGGCTGGCTACATCAAGCTGGTGAAGATCATCAAACGCTGGTGTAAATATCCCGACAAGGTCGACAAGATGAACCAGCTTCTGCCACGACGGGCCCGTGTGTAAACGGTAGGTTGCGTTCATTTCTTGCACTACCTGAATCCCGAATAAGTCATTGCAACATACGTCTCTTGTTTGGGTGTGATGATGCATTTCTCATCAGATATTGTCCCAGTTGTGATAGAAAGTATGTTGATGAGGTATCCGTTGTTCATAAATCAAGTTTGACAAAAGTCAAATTTTCTTTCGACTGGAAATTTGGAGCACATGTACTGATATGTACCATAATTATTTTGCGGAGTGTTAGCCGCACCTTAAAACACCTGAAAACACCTGAAAACTATTTAGAACGAGGTCTGTCTCGTTGTCCAGGAAACGACCAATCAGCGACATTCCCGCCAAGGGCCTTATCAGAGTTTAAAGCCCGCTCAATCGTTATTTTACTACTCTTGATGACGCGTCGAGGGCCTTGGATTAGTTTAAAGCCCGCTGAATATACTCTAACCTGGTGCATACAACTCCCTGTATGCATTATAGTACGGTGAAGGTAATGAACTCTGCATAAAATGTACGGTGTACTACTAAAAGCTACGCATTTCAGAAGTGTGTACGGTTTTTGCCTCCCGTATTCTTTCATCTGTACGAATTTCCTTTGTCAACAGCTTGTGGAAACATATAAAAACCGAAGCTCAAAGTCATTAGAGGTATCGACAAGGGGCCCTCAAGGCCCCTAAATAGCTCCACAAGCTATGAATTAGAATGAAGCTCGCAATAAGAGCCCAGCATTTCATTTGCTGCTTTTCTACTTTTAGTAGTCCTAAGTGGTGCTGAGTTACCATAACTAAACAGAAGAAAATATTCTTTCATACCACACCATGTCTCTCTGCACACAAACAACAAAACTACCCAATATAATGGTACACAAGCATAATAGAAGTGAGATAATGCATATAACCTCGTTCTAAAATAGTTAGTGCATGGCAGGGAGGGTCTTATGGCTTGTTTGTGCCCTTCAGGGTAGCCCTCGGGCCTACGGCCCTCAGGCTAACCTGTCGGGCACTAACAAGCCATAAGGCCCTCCCTGCCATGCACTAACCTATAATTAAAATTGTGTGCATCAGTGTGGATTTACGTGTATGTGTATATGTGTGTGTGTGAGTGTGTGTGTGTGTTTGTATGTGTGTGTACATGTGCATGCATCCAATCCATTCCGGCTACGGTGTATGCTATAATGTGAACGTCTTCGTGTTCGTGCGGTATTCTCTGTTTGCTCCGTCCCAGATGGAGGTTTCAAGCACTTCACTCAGCAAGTGCTGGTTCTCTCTATCTCTCTCTCTCTCTCTCTCTCTCTCTCTCTCTCTCTCTCTCTCTCTCTCTCTCTCTCTCTCTCTCTCTCTCTCTCTCTCTCTCTCTCTCTCCGTGGTGTGTTCTCTATATTACTGACTGGCTATGCTGTTCATCAAATCCATTCTTCCTTAGTCATTTTTACCAAATTGTAGCAGCATTATGTTATGCTTGATCGCTACCGCACTAAATATTTCCTTCCTCTATATAAATGTACTCGCCCCCCCCCCCCCTCACCACCCTTTGTCCCTACTCCTCCCCAGTTTTTGGTGCACTGAAGTGTCGCTGAAGCCGAGACCTCAGGTCGGCGGAGATGCTCCAGTTTCACCACCACAGTTGCGTCTGCAACCACCTCTATCATGCAGTATTCTGTTCTGGAGGTTCGTGGTTTCTCGTAAAAAAAAAAGAACTAGTCCAGTAGGTTAGACAGTAAAGACAGCTAATTGTAGAGGACCACACCAGGTTACTTTGCCCGTTGCAGAATTACTACTTATAGTCATGCAGATACTTGAAACTTTTCTTTTTAATTTTATGAATGCATAATATTGGAATATTTTCATTATGCCGAGGTATACCGAGTAGGTTAGACTATTTTAGTGATATAAAATATTTTTGATCAAGTTCCTTCTTTTCGAAATTCCAGTCACTTATACAATGTCATGTACATACACAATTATTACAAAACGTAATTTTAAGTTTGCGCTTTCAGAATTTCATTTTCACTTCAATACTGTAACAGTGCCATGATTTCAGTACCATTGGTAGTGGGTCACATGTTGTACAAACTCTAAAACAAACATTTTCTTCTCATCAGAACTTGGGTGTATAGTGCCTCGTCTACAAAGTTCAGTTTAAAAAAATTCCTTGAAGATAGAGTCAGCCTGGTAAATAACAATCTAGGTTACAACAACAACTAATGAATAACCACACATGACTTAACACCCAGTGACCATTTGACTACATACTTCAAGCTCACTAATAACAAGAAAGGATTAACAAGAGTGTGCAACTCCGGATCTCTTCTGCACTATCTGCAGATACCCCGAATTTTTTGTTGATGTCACCTTTTTTCAGGAAAACGTGCATTTTGCCGCAGAGCAGTGTGAGAGCACGTGCTGGGCACCGGCCTTGTAATGTAAAGCCCGGCCAATTGCACGAGGACTTACTTTCCAAAAGACTCGCAGCGCATGCGTCGTCGAAAAGATTACGTCAACAAAAAAATTCCGCCGCGGGCCAACCCATCCCGGAGTTGCACACTCTTGTGTATCTACTCTTGCTAATAACATACTCCCGCGAATAGCGATGTTGTACTCATGTAAGATGGAGCACAATTACCAAGCAAGTGGCAACATGTCATTTCGTTCAATCTCCCAAGATTCCCATGACTAGACAGCACGTTTTCTCTGTCTGCGCTCATTAGGAAATGCTGGCGATAAAAATACAACAAAATTCTATTGTATGCAATATGCACTCATTTACACAGTACGCGGAGCACAGCGGACTACAGTCCATTCATAAAAAAATGGGTCCTGGCTCTGGCGAGCTCCCGTATTTGGCGATTTTTCGTGATTTCATCGTACACAGTGCAGTGCTGCGAACTTTGAAATTTGAAAAAGGGTCCAAAAAGGGTGCCTGAACTGGGGTTCGAACCGCAGAATGCACTGTTGCAGGCGGGGTCAAACGGCCTGGATTTTGATGGTTTTTCCCAATTCAGTGCTTTTGGGGCAAAACCTGGCCGAAATCCTATTCTTGCTATGGCTTGCTTTTTGGACAAAAAAACTTCAGAAACATAATTGGAAGAGGATTCCATATGGGATTGCAGAAAAAAATTCTAAAAAAACTCAACGTTTGACCCATTTATGGCCAAAAGCTAGAAGTTCATTTTTTTCTGAATGGACTGTAGTTATACACCCAAACAGAAGAAAAATACACCCTGCCCACTTTGAAAATAATAAAAAATATGCTGGGTAAGTAATTTGGATGTGTGCACAATTTCGACAAATTCGAAAGGGCTACTGCTGGGCCTAAATACCATGGTCAAGATTGTATGGTTTTCGGTCGAGCAGTCGAAAGAAATGTGTCTCACTTGAACACCAAGTAGAGCTGCCGCTGTTGTGCCAAGGCCCATTGGCGCATAGTGTGTATAATCCAAATCTACATGTATGGTGATGGGTCACTGCTGGCGTTTGTGCTCTTGGACAGTGCAACGCTGCGTGAAGATAAGTTGTGGCTCCACAATCGCTGAGAACGCTAGTGTGCGTCCATGGAATACTAAAGCACAACAGGCGCGGCACAGCTAACGCCCACTTGCATGAATCGGTCGACAGTGGTGGCGAGTGCATTCTCCTTCCTCGGTGAACACTGCTGGATACCCTGTTTGATGATCCACCAAACACCATCGGTGCAGGCCGCGTTTTTCGGAACCAGCGATTTGGTCGTCCACCAACAATTGTTTCTCACTTGAACACTCTGTAGAGCTGTCGCTGTCGTGACAAGGCCGTGTATACTCCAAATCTACATGTAGGATGAAGAGTAACAGTTACTGCTGATAATGAAGTTTGCGCTCGTGGACAATACAACGCTGTGTGAAGTAAATTGTGGCTCCACAATCGCCCAGAATCCTAATGTGTCTCCATGGAATACTGAAACACAATAGGCGCGGTGCAGCTAACGCCCAACGTGGATGAAACGGACAACAGCAGCGGCTAGAGCGTTCTCCTTCCTCGGTGAACACTGCTACAAGACATTATGCTTGATGATTCACCAAACACCATCGTTGGAGGCCAAGTTTTCCGGCACCAGCGAGTTGTTCGTCCAGCAACCTTCTTTTTAGTCTTTCTTCAACACTTCGTAGAGCAGCCGCGCAAGGCCTTTCCTTCACGTTAGGGTAGCGATCCTTCCTATAACGCTATCGCCATTCATTGTTACTTTTTACTACAATGACACTTCAGTAGTGTTTCTCCGAAAATAAAGTCAGCTGCCATCAGGCACAGAGTCAGCGCTCACCTAGTACCTAGATATATTATAGGCCTAGCGCCTAGCAAGCACCTGGACTTGTAAAAAAATTATTTTTACAATTTTTTAAAAAGTATTTTGCAAGTCTTCAATCATGTTTGCATGTACGCGCTATCCAGCCATGTGGCGTGAAAAGATTGCTTGATGAATGTTGTCGTGATCATGAAAGGACTACAGTACAGTAGGTACTACGACTAGGTAGCGCTAGCGAATCCGCGGACGTGTCTGACACGTGAAACGAAACGATTTTTATCTTAGTCCTTCGCTTTTCGCAGTTGCACGCGGAGCACGGAGGATCAGTCAACGAGTAGATCTACGTCACGTGGGCTGTTGTCGGGAGGATCTAGGAGTGCATTATTGACCCCTACTAGTACTACCTACAAGTACATGTGTAGCAGGCCGCAGTCTCACTCTCGGAGGCAAATGCACTCGGGTCTCAGTGAACACACTGTTGACACTGTTGTTTATTACCGGTATAACTGAACTAAACTGAAGACTACATTGTAAACATTAACTCTAACTCTAACTCTTAACTGACATTTCTAACTGGCATTTCTAAATGAAGTTTCTAACTGAAGAGAAGAGAATTGTGAACAGCAGCTTTTATAGGCAGACAGCATAAGTGCTGCAACTAGGGTCCAGCGGATAATGCCGGCATTATACGACTACCCGAGCATCAGAGCATTATGGAGCATTGGAAAGGAACAAAACGAGCATTATGTGAGGTTTGAGCGGCATAACGAGTTTCATAGTGGAAATCCCAGGTTTTTGGCAACAATCGGCTACAATCATGATCATGAGATGTTGTCTGATGATTGGTTTTTGCCATAAAACTCTGAGTAACAACGAAACAGCCATATTTTACTCCTTTTGTGTACCTCTTGCGTACTACGCTCCGCCCATTCCGGGCATTTGAGCACTATGCATTGTACCGACGCTTGACTTTATGATTGTGTAGACACGTAACACCTTTAGCACTAACGTTACATAAATATTGCTACATGCTGTCCGCAGATTGAGTAACTATAAGTCTATTGCTACATAAAAACGTTATGATTGTAGCGATGTGGTCAGGTGAATGTATACAAGCCATTTGTGAAGCATGCCCAACCGAGGCCGAGGCAGTTCAAGTGACACAAATCCGGAGAAATTATTTATGAAGTATGAGTTACGAAGTCTGAAGAAAATGTTGAACGGCCTCTGCTGGGATGACGACTACACCATAGCTCAGTGGTTAGAGCATCGCTGGCTACAAGCGAGGGTCCCTGGTTCGAGTCCTGGTGGTGACAGTCAATTTTTTCTTCAGACTCTTCCCGTTTGTCTCTTTCCCTCAAACCAGTTAAAATTATTTATGAGGTTTCTTTTACTTTTAGAATAATGGAGAGCTATGGAGGAGACATACGCGAAGTGAATACCAAACAGACGAAGAAGAGTTTGCTAGTTGTGCCAGAGGCTCTGGCGATAGCATCTCTAGCGATACTGAAGTAGACACTGATGCATTGCTAAATTTGGACCAGGATGAAGGAGCGGCTATAAACAGAAATACCTCGTTCCAAAAGAACTGCCTTTGCCGAGTCCAGCTCAGGAGGCTCGAAAAGAACTACAATTTTTCATGGACTTAGAACCAAGTCGATTGCTCAGCAGCGCCTGTCTTACTTTCCTGACGAAGCACGTTCAGTTAGTTGTGGACGCCTGGACGATAGTAATGCCAGGCCTACGGTCAAATGCTATCAGAAAGGAAGAGTATTGTGGCAAGCCATACGTCTACACACCATCTCAAGGAGGAGATGAGAGCACAAGCAAAGGATGTAGAGTGGAAAAAATAGATTTTGACCACGTGTTTTCAGGATTTCCGCAAATGGGAGGGCTCTCCATCTGAGATCGGATCTCAGGAGCTGGCCTCATGTCTGGTGTTTCAGACGAAGACATTATTCAGAGAGTGGACGCAGTGACAGCTTGTCTGCAGGCAAGAATACTATTTGCCAAGATTAACTTCATCCCAACAATGAATGACTACCTGCAATAATGGTTTAATCTCTCACTACATGGATAATTAGGGGAAAGATTTGATACACCGACTATTCTTCCACAACCCTGCATCGAAGTTGGAATGGAGAGCAATCAATGGAGAAGTGATCATGTTTTATAGTGCTAAGAAGTGGTGAAGCTCGTGAGAGATAAGGTGGCAGCTTCAGATGCAGATCGACGATATGCATAATTTCCTGGAAGTTTGACAATGTGCAGACATTCTTCCATTTTTGTCCGGAACCAAGAGCATTATATCCCTTGCTGAAGCATTATAATCAGCATTATAAGGCAGTTTTTGGAGCATTATGGTTAGCATTATATGAACATTTTCGGAGCATTATCCGCTGGACCCTAGCTGCAACAGCAATGGTCACGGCAAAGCTCAGCAGAGAGAAGAAGAAAGGTCAAAGTAGATGTGTGGGCAGCAGAATGGGTCACTGCACAAGGAATGCTATTTGATTCTATGCAGAAGAAGGAGCTGAATGCGAGGTGAGCAATGGGCGTAAATGAAAGGCGGTTGAAAGTGCTGCAAAAGGTCTACAGTCAAAGTAGAGTGTACATGTATTTCTAAGGTCAATATGAAACATTGAATGCAGTGAGACTAGTTACTATGCATGTCATGCACCTGCAAGCAGCACAGTACTAATAAGAGTTGCAAGTGCGGAGTGCGGTGCGGTGTAACACTCGTGACCAATACATTGAAAGACACGCAGCTAATGTCTCTGCTTCGTTCAGGGAATTCAGAATAGGAAGTCTGCTGTACCACC